TAAGTGCATTACAATCTATAATATAAAAACTAAGGTTAACTCTCTTTGAAACGTGACAGCAAGAAAAAAGAAGATCAATTAAGTATTTTATTATTATTTTTCATGTATATTCTTTATGTATAATTATAAAAGTAACTAAAATGTAAAAATTGGGATCTTTTTAGGTTTGTCAAGATTAGATTAGGTAAAATAAATAATAATAATATTACAATAAAAATGTTTCATGAGACACACAAGCAAGCAGCTCGTGGGTAATGTAATTCATTATCATAATGTGAGTTGCATGTTCCTCGAGTGATTTACAGCTTATAATGGAGCAGATAGTAGTAAGACATGATATATGTATACTGTTACGAACTTAGAGCTACTTAGGATAAATGAATGTAGTTTCATGTTACAATTTGAAGTCGTTCAGGAAAGAAAAAAAGGGTAATTTAGGTTTATTTCGATTTTTGTTTTGGTGGTTATGAGGTCGGTTGAATTGACCGATCCTGTTTTGAGATAGGGTAGTGAAAATAACAGATAATGCATTTAGGAGTTTTTAGGGATTACACAAAGGAAATTTGAGATGAGGAAAAGTATTTTTAATTTTAACATGAAAATTACTTTGCACATAGACTATTCAAAACAAATACTCAATATACTCATGGACAAATCTTTATTTTATTTTATTAAAATACTTCACTAAAAAAGATGATTTTTGTATGTGAAAGACTTATAATATTAACTGAAAGACTGCCAAATGTTGTGAAGATATACACACTATATTGAAAGTTAGAAGTATTAAATGTATAAAGACTTTAATAAGAGGTCCATCAACACGGGTCAAACTGATTATGCAGGTTTTGGAATTGATTTTTTATGAGATGCAAAATTGACAATTATGATAATATTATGAGGAAATATAAATTATTCATGCTCTTGTCAATTAATAACATGATTGTTTCCAGTAGGTTAGTAAGTTTTGTTATAAAGTTTTTAACTGTTTCATAGTCAAAGTGTTGTCTATATAACTATCTTTACTACTACAGCCAATAAAAAAAGTGAATTTTATTTTAAAGAGGAATGTACAAAGTTACTTTGTGCACAAATTTATGTTTTTAATTACTCTTCACTGTTAGAATAATTAAAAACACTTTATTAAAAATAATGATATTATATACTTCTCCATAATAATGGTGAAAAAAAAAACGTTTACAAAATTCCCAACTATAAAAAGCATTAAAGTTGTATCAATCAATGAATTAGCTAGGTTGTTAAGAACTAACACAACTTGAAACTGTAGTTTTCATTTAGCCATGACATGATCTTCATTACCTAATAGATTAATATTTTATTTTACTATTAATCAATTAATAAAATGCATCTTTATCATTATTACTATGAAAATCATTATCTACCTGATATTGTTTCCCCTTTCTGCAAAGTCCCAAGAATACGATGTCCTAGAAGTTTTATAAGCCGAGTGACAACCTGGCAAGTTATGATATAGCATTTGTTAATAAGTACTGGTGTGTGAAGAAGAATTGAAACACTTTAGTTTCTTAAGCTAGTACTAAAGAAAACTTAAAATATTCTCTGAAAATATCATATTTGAACAAACAGCAATAATGTTGCTGAGATGAAACCAAGTTTGGAACAGCCAGTGTAGGAGCTAAATAAACGTTTTAAAAGTCATTCCACCCACTGAAATAATACAGCTAAAAATAAAAACCTAACACAATTGAGCAATTTCTATACACAAGTATATTTTTGCATGTGCTTAACCTTTGAGCTACATTCACCAAAAGTTAATAAACTGGTCTTGAGGTTACTCAATCTTTGTACCAAATTTGATCAAAATTAGATGAAGCCTTTTGGAGTTATGTGGCTGACCTACAATGTGATCTTAACATCGACCTAATTATAGTGTTCGCACACATATAGGAAAGAAAACAATACACCCATCATATACATACTCAGAAAGTACAATACTCAAAACTTGTTCTGTGGTTCAATGTGCTTCATTTTAGAGTAATATTTTAAAAGTAGATAAATATACCCATTGTGAGCTTCCACTTTAGTTTCCTTACATTTTTCTAATTAAACTTGTAGAATCTATGTAATCAGTAAAATAATAACTTGTCAACTAAATTCTACTAATGTACTGATTGTTAGAAAGTTTATCTTGTAATTCAAATAAATTTGAAATATCAAATAATGGTACATTTTCTCATTTCTTTCTTTGTACTACTTCATTTATGTAAAAAGTTTGGCAAATTTACTTTTGAGAATGATCCTTTATAAACAAGAGAGCTCACACGATCAGTTTACAAATAAGATCTGTTTTCATGCCGAGTTTATAAAGAAGAACCATTCTAATAATAAGATTACAAATAAGTACCATTACCATGTTGAGTTACTACACGAGAATTATTTTAAAGTAAGTTTATAAACAAGAAATATTCTCACGTTGTATTTGATAACAAGTACCATTACAATATTAAGTTAATACACAAGAACCATATACATGTTGAGCGTAAGTACAAGAATTGTTCCCAATTTGGTGAAACTGGCTGCCAACATTAGCAGCAGGTATGTGTAACTATGAATACAGTCACAGTAACTAAACTAGGCAAAGAAGAACTATTAAACTTAGTATATTTTTTTACTGAAGTATAAGAAATAATATAGTAATCAACTCACCACAGGATACTTTATCTTGATAGCATTCAATAAACCTTCAGGAAGTTTAGCCAACTCAGAATCTCTGAAAAAATTAAAAATATGTTTGATGAACTATAAAAATGCAGAAATATCAAATTAAAAAAAAACTCTTTAGTGACATACCAAACAAATTTCAATAACAAAATGTTAAAACAATTTCATTAAACTAACTGGTTAAAAAACCTGTCAAATATTTCGACACAGTGGCTACTTTGGTACAATTTGTTACTAAAAAAAAAGATCTTTAATATTATCTACCCATACTTTTTAACAGTCATTTATAATTAAGAAATATTTTCTTAAATAAATAAAGCATATTATAAACTAAGAACTATATTCCTTAACATTTGTGTGCAAAGTATACTGCAAACTTTATAAGAACTGTATAAAAAAACAAAGTAACAGCCTAGGACAGTCAATCTCCTCTCATGAGAATCACCATTAAACTTGCATTTCTCCTACAAAGCATAGTGACTTATTATAACATTATTTTTTTTTGCCAACATTCACAAGTTCTTAGAATAAATGCCTGTTATTACTGACATCCTACTTAAGATATACTGAATCAAATATTAGAACTTTTTTTAAGACTTGTGTCTATCTCTGGCAATACTGTCTTCACATTGAGTAACTTTACTAGACTTGTTTGAAAAATATTAGCTATCTACTTCATATTAGTGATGAAATGTAAATTAAAATACTCTTTTAAAAATTCCAAACACTGCCAAACCTATGAGCAATGCCATATTAAGGTCATATCTGAAGCACAGTGGTAAAACTAATAATGCTTACTGACTGAATAGTAAATGATTACTTTGTAATACTTTTATAATTTTAATAGAGTAAAAATTGGTAATTTTATTTAGTATTCAGAAATTTCCACTTTGTATGTAATTTTTTTTTATCCAGTGATATTTCTTTTTTATTATTCCATCATAGCTCCTGTTACTACATTTTCAATTTAAGATTTGGTTCTTCAAACCAAAATAAACTAATTTTAATGTAGTAAACTTTCGGTTTAATTAAAACAATGCCATATTTTTGATAATATGATGAGCAACCTTTATTTCATGTATTCAGTTTAAATTTGTTTATACTTGGAACTATGTAAGTATTGATTTAAAAAGGATTTTATGAATTCATTCACTATCTTTATTTAACTCTATGATCTACACACAAATATATATACCCAGCATTTATGCATCGTACCATTGCAACTCATTCAGTACTTTGCATGTGCATTATATGAGAATTAGGTGCTGTGTTTCTGACAAAAGTTCAACTAGACATCTAACCTATATAAAAGCCAGTGTGTCACATCACACTTAATTTCTTGAAATAGGTGGAGCCATAAAAGCCAAAATGCATTTATCCACATAGAATAGTTTGATTACTGTCTTCCCATTATGATTTAGTGAGGGGGATGCAAGTGGGGCCATGAGGGGGAGATGTCATGAAACCTTATAAGTGTAGTGAGTGTCGGCATAATAAGCCTAAAGTAAAGACGTAGTGTGAGATCACCTAGCCGAGAGCCAAGTGCATAAAATTTACCATGAAAGTAAAAATATTGATTAAATTTGAAACTTAAATCATTTCTGAATTAAACTATTTTCTGTTATATCACCAATGTTTTTAATAAAAAACAAACCTCTTTAATCAATGGAGACTCTAAAATTAAGAATCAGCAAATATTTTTCCAGTTTTGTTGTATATATACATTTTATTTTATACTTTCAGTACATAGACAAATAGCCATATTATGTTATACTTTTTTGTTGCTAAGCAACATGACATAAAAGCCATTGTGGGAATATAGTGTTACAAAAACACACTGGCTTTTCTATATATTAGAAGTTGTTAATTTAACTGACTTTTACCGATAATTATCCTATGAATATACCACGAATTCACTTCATGAATGATCTTAGTTTTGATTGACTCACAAAGGCATTTACCGACATCTAACTGCCTCGACTGCACTTTTCTGTCTCTTTTGTAGGTCAAGCTTGATTTCATAAAATTAATTCCAGTTAGCTATGAAATGTGAGTTAAGGGTGGCAGTACTTGCCCTGTCATTTTTGACGGCCTATACACTAGTCTATATAAGAAGTAAAGTTACTGTAAATCTGGTGTCACATGTTGTTATGAAGAATTGACAGAACCAATTTTGATTAAATTTGGTAGAAGAACTCAGATGACTCCCCTCACCCCATAGCCAAAGTACAAATTACAAAGAATAAGCAATCACACAAACAGTTACAGTTTGCAGCCATTTCTGTGTTACTTCCTTAATGCTCTGATATCATGAATTATTGTGAGAAACTGATTGAACAACTTAGATGGAGTACGGTAGAGAAACTCAGGTACCCACCACCAATAAATCAAGTTGCAATGAATAAGCAGTTGAAAAAACAGTTTTGAGTTTGGCAGACTTTAACTTTACTGCTTTAATGCTGCAAGCAAGGGCTTAACTGAGCAAAGTGGTAAGCAGCAAGATATGTGAAGTTGACAACAAACAAAAGTGACATTTATAGCACATGTAGTGCAAGTACCTTTGCTATGGACAAACAGACCATGTGTTATGGTTCAAAATAGTGGAAAGGGCAATGTTAACGTTTTCCTAATCTAAAGTATTTCCAATAGAAACTCACTTCCTTACACAAAATAACTTGGTCCCTCGTGCATCTGCCACTAGCCTTGAGCTAAGTCCCATCTAAATTGATGTGTTTAGTGTGAACTGTACTGGTGCATGGCATCATGCAACAATAGCCCTCCACCAATAGGAGGGTGACACAACCTCCTTACACAGTAACTCCCTGTAAAGCGTCTGAATAACTTCATTCTTATATGAGACAAGAAGAAAGTTCACTAGAAGTGAGTAAGTTGGGTGGGAATGTGAGAAAAGGTGATTATCTACTGGAAAATGTTAACATCTGAGATGATAACTCACCTCGACACACAGAATAACTAGAATCCCAAGTGAAAATGGAGGAAAGGTCAGTGCAAAGTTAAACCAAGATGAGTTCCCTTCAGAAAGTGCTTGAAGGGAAAGACCATGGAAAGTGACACCTGATGGCAGGGGTTCCATAAAGGTACACACCCATGGGGGACTGCATCTTATCTCAACCAGAATATATTCTTTGCCCAGAATATAGAAGAGGAGAGACAAAGAAGCCCCAAGTGTCACAATGATGAGCAGCATGAGAACACGACCATCTCAGCACCTGCACACAAGCCATTATATCTAATGTGTTTAGGGTGCAATCAGACTGTGTGTTCACCTTAACTCATCTGAACAGACAGAAAAACCAATTTTTAAAAGCCATCAAGCAAGAGCTAAAGAAGTGTACAGTCACTTCCTTGGTGCTGGTTATTTCCATAATAGTCCATAGAATGGTATGGTGTGGATTGAGCAATGGAGTAATTTCATATACCCTGAGGATACTTCTAGTGGTCTTGCAGTACATCCCAACTCTACAGTGGGCACTGGTAAGGCCTGGGTGGATGGTTTGAATGCTTTCCATGACCCCTGGCCTGATACAGATTATTGGAAAATAAGCATGCCCTGAAAGGTAACATCAGCCATCTGGGGGGTACTGTCAGACCGAAATGGAAAGAAAAAACAAACAAAAACATACTCATAGTACTTATAGTATTTTGGCACTTGTGTATAAAGTTAAAATCATAAATGATATTCAATGTTAAATTGGTACACAATTAAAATATTTTATTTAGGCCTATCTATGGCCTTCAAAAAGTTGACGACTGTACATGTTTCAACGTTACAGCATCATCCTATAGCTATAAATACTTTGGCAATTGTCTTGTAATTCACTCCTGAGGATGACATTGTAAAGTCGAAACATGTATAGTCGTCAACATTTTGAAGGGCATAGATAGGCCTAAATAAAATGTTTTTAATTGTGTACCAGTTTAACATTGAATATTATTTATGATTTTAAAAACATACTCATCCCAAAGATAATGGGTCGATTGAAGAATGGTGAACAGAGGGAGAGGAAAACGGTCAGATGATGAAAATAATGATCAACAAATGTTTGTGGAGTTGTCCCCATACCCGTTTGGAAGATCTTGTCCAAGGGCCAGCAAAAATAAGAAGCAAGAGAATGGGACAGGTGAGGAATCTGATACAATGAAATATGAGAGAGCCTGCAAGCATCCATGAAAGAATAAACCAACAGGACAGACCCATCCAATAACGGAAGAAGATGAGAAGTCACTAGACAAAGATGGGTTCCAGGATAGAAAGAGATGATGATGACAGGGAACCCTAAATGGAAAAGTTCATGCCAAGTAACACTGAACAGTCCAAACTAGACAGAGGAGCTGATCCAGGTCTGAAAATGCACAGATGTAAGAAATAGAGGGAAGGGAGATAGGAGAGAAAATACAGTCACCCTCCTGAGTGGCTGAAATCGTAAGAAGAAAAAACTGTTATGGGTATAGGAGTTAATAAGTGCAGTGGAATAGTATGCAAGATGCATAAAGAGCATAGATATCTGAATGAAAGCGACAATAGGTGAGAAGAAGAAGGAAGTAAATCTTAAGAAAAAGGTGGTATAAAGAGCAAGTCAAAGGCTTGAACGGGGCACATGTAAGAGTGTAACATCACAGTTAGATCTCAGCTTGGCATGGGAACCAGGTTAGGGGGGTCAGTGAAAATGGAAAAAATCAGAAGAAAGTACAGAGGACTGGAGAAGAAAATACCATATGGTAACAGAAAAGGCTAAATGTAGTGGATAAGGCTGTCTGATAACCAGCAATGGTGGAGACTGACAAACCATGGTCCAACAACCAAGTGAAAAAACAAAAAGGTGCCTCACAGTAGGACAGCCAGGAGAAAGGGAGCAGCAGGTGTACCAATGACAAAAATCTACTATTTCTGTTGATAGACAGACAAAGTGTAAGGAAGACAGGAATTGGAAAAGAAGGTTACACAATTGGAGAGTATGGCTCTTCAGGTGGTGGACCAGACAAATCCCACATATGAAAATGAAGGGATGATACCCTTGGATGAAAGAGAGTTACATAAAGCTGAAGCAATAGAGAGGGGATATTGGGTAAAGGAAGAGGAGGGTCTGGACGGCAATCAACAAAGTAGAAGAAACCAAGCTGAGATGGCCAAAGAGGTACCACCAAAAGGGCAAGGAGTGTCATGCATCAAGGCAAACACCCAAGGGAGGAGTCTAAGAGGAGGATAGACATACAGAAAAAGGTGAGACCAGTTCTGGCTGAGAGCATCAACAACCACAGCCAAAGGATGAGGAATTGGGAACCAGAAGAGAGGAATGGCAAAGGCATTTATGAGGAGCATGCCCAACAGAGAGCAAACTCATTGAAAAACCTGGGAGTGGAGAGAACACTCCATGGGCAGAACATTGTCCAGCTAAGAGAGACAATCTGTTACCAGGTTCAAAGCCCCAGGCACATGATAAACAGGTGCCCTTTTGATTGTTCATATAAGAAACAACTGTGTAATTGTCAGAATGGATCATGATTAAGTGATCCACTAGAAGAGGCAGGATACTGGAACATGCCCCAAAAAAATGTGAGATGATCAAGCACATTGATGTAGAGTGAACTCTCCTCCTGTGCCCAAATGCCAGAAGTCACATTATCATTCAGAGATGCACCCCAACCAAAGACAGATGCATCTGTGAAGATATGGTAATCCAATCAGTGATGTGGTAAGGGAATGCCAATCATGGAAGTGGCACAACCTAGCTACCAAGTCAATTTCTCAAAAAGAGGACAATGGATCCCAAGAAAGATTCCATTGATCTTACAAGGTCTACTGTAGGAGGCACCTGCGTGTGAAACCCAAGGGAATAAAGCTTGAACTGGAAGTGAAACTGACACTTCTCTATACAGAAAACAATGTAATATAATACATCATTTGATAGAGTATAACACTGACTTTCTATTGGTTATAAATAATAAGGCAGTGAACATCAGACAGAACTATTAACAATTTCTGAAAGATAGGATGTGATGTGGGCATGACAAGAGGGATCTGATTTTCTATTTAATGGCTCTGTAACCAAATAAGATTGAATACTATAAAAATTATGCTTTGCCTGAGCAATGTTATAATTAGAGAAGAGGGGATGTCTAGAGATAAAATGTCACAATTTTCATACTATTGGAATAAAGAATTTAAAAATTATAAACTATTAAAATATGGATAATTGGCTACATTTTTATGCTATAGTTATTGATATACCATGATAATAAAGTAGTTTAATTAAACTTTGAATATAACTCACTTAAACCTTGTGACGTGCACAAAAGGATGCTTGTAGCAAGAGGGTTAAAATGTGACATCTTTCACGAAAAATAAAGACGTAGTTTCTAATAACATGATCAATCCTTGGCCTACAGTTCTACAAGTTCTAAAAAATCAATGAAACTTGTTGAAAAATTGTGTATCTCTGCGAACTTACAATGCTAGAAACCGGGTTTTTGATGTCCGTGGTGGACAGAGCACAGATAGCCCATTGTGTAGCTTTGTGCTTAACTTCAAACAAACAAACACCTACTACAAAATGGTAATGCTCTTTGGTTATTAAACCACATGTTCATGATTTAGTATAACTATGATCATATTTTTTATAAATGTGGAGGTTGTAAGATACATTACAATTAAAAATAAAGACATCCTTACAGAATTCCTCAGGTATGCATCAACTGTGAAAGCTGAACACAAATTATAAACTTTACATTAATTCTGTGCTTATGAGAGAAAAAAATAACTAACACAATAACTTTCTAACAGAAATAAGACAACTTGATAAGTTTTTTACCTTACAGCCATTACAGTTGTTGCTCTTGCTGTTTGAGTTAGTACCTCAACCTGCATAAAAGTTAAAACAAAGTTATGCTTAAAGTCAATCTGATTATTACTGACATGCATAGAAAAGAATACTGGTTTAAAAAATAGAATGAACATGGTTTCATGTGTTTTGTTTTAATTTCCATTTACAGTTGAACATAATTGTGGAGCTTTTCCTAACAAAAGAAAAATAGTAGTAACAACAGTAGGTTATATAATTTCAAAACTAGTTCTCTTACTTGAGAGTTTGATATAAAGTAACTTAAGAAACTGACTGTGATTCTATTAAATAAGACCATCTCAACACTCAACAATTGGAGATAATACTTATCAAAATTAGATTAGTAACTGTTACAAATTAGAATATTTTGGCATTGTAAAAAAAACTCACAATTCCAACAAGATCACCTCTGCCATATTCACCAGCCAGTTCCTTCTTTCCATCTTGTCGGGTCAGTACAGACCTCAGTCGTCCACTTAGAACAATGTACATGCAATCTGATATATCATCTTGCCTGAAAATATTAACCATTAGCAATGTAGTAAACCATAAAAGAAGAAATACAAGAATAAAGAACACCAGGATTTCACTTATCAAGAACAAACTGCCAGCTGAGAGGGAGAGAGAATTAAAACTAGGAAACGACTAAGAGAGTTAGTTTTTTTTTCACCAACATATAAAGTGGTATAAGATAGAAAAAAGAGATACATAAAGAGTATTACATTACTTCTTTTAAAGTCAGTTTATGGTCAAAAAGTCTATATATAAGATATAGGGTAACATCACAAAATCCATCAAAGTACCAATGAATCGAGTTTATTCACAGTTTGACACATCTCACTTTTGTAAGTTTCATATAAAACCTTACCTATATAGGGCTCTACCAGATTCCACATTCATCCAATCAAGAGCAAAGTCTATCTGTCGAACAAATGACGACAGTCTAACAATTATAGTGTGAACCAGGTTCAGGACAGCTAAAGGTCTCTGTCGGAGGATTCTAGCAGACAAAAAGAGAAAAAATTCCAAAGTGTTCAAAACTACTTCCTTACAGAATTCTATTCACAAACTGAAATTTGCTGTTCTATTATCTGACATAGGTTTCTGTACCACCAACAGAAACATATGATATGTTAATAGTTTACTGCATAATTCTACATCCATACAATAAACACAGCAAAACACACACATACACATAGAAAATAACAACTAAGAAAAGTACATATATCGCTATATTTTAGCAATATAAACAGATAGCACTTTCCAAATGTTAGTTGTATTTTAATATTTTTAGTATCACTGTAATAAATAATTACAGGGCTCAAAATTAGCAGGGGCCTACACCCAATGGCCCCCAAAAATCCCAGCAGGCCCATAAAAAGTGTCTGCTAGGTAGCCCGTGTGGCCTTTTAAAATCAAAAGAGCCATTAAAAGTTTGATTCTACACAAATTGATCTGAGCATTTCTTAACTGAGCAGAACTTATGACAAAACATGAATGGGTATTCCCAAATTTACGAACACTCATCAGTCATGTACAATCCACAAACATTGTCACTATGAATTCCTGTGTATTCAAAGTAAATGCATTTTCATTAATAAGAAAGCCATCACTTTGTCCAATATTCAATCTTTTTGTATCAGTGTAATGGAATTTATATACAAAATTTCATTTATAAAATTTGAAATATAATGATTATTTAAACTTGTTATAAAGGTGACTACTGTTTTTAATCACAATGCTATTTTTAACTTTTATATATGACACCAAGCCTGCATCAAGGTTCAC